GGCGGTTCAGATCCTGGTGTCGGATGGCTTGGCTGTGGTTTGGTAGTTTTAATAATTGTACAATACAGTAATACCCCGAAGGTACGCCATAGGTGGTACTGGCATTAGTGGCGTGAGTCGGGGTACAAATTTCCATACAACTTTATATTAATCTGAGCTAATCGGTTCTTTGATAGCAAATCTAAAAAGAAAATGCTAATTTATTGCTGATTAATTTATTCATTAAACTAAACTATAAAAATACTTATGTGACATACAAATGCAGGTAAGAGATGGGAGAGGATGGGAAACAATGTATGGCGTAAGTGCGAATTCGCGTACATCGGGGTATTACTGTACAAGAGTTGTTCTATGGGTTAGTCACATTTTCTGCAAAACTAACATCACAAAATCACTGGATCGTACTGCCTGTTCAACTAATTTTCTTGTCGATTGTTGATGTTTGAATTATACCACCAGGAAGTTCTATTTCAAATAATAACGAACTATAGAGCTCAGCACAAATGTGTGACACCCTCGTATAAGTATAGAGTAGATCTTGTTCTGAATTATTGGATTCGTCGTTCCACCGACAACCCTAAAACGAGCACCTAAATTCAGAGCAGACCCGTGAACCTCGCGTAAAATTAATAATTGGATTCGCTTGATTGTAACTTCGCGGAAAACTTCCGCCGCTAGATAGAACACTTTTCCCACCCCCTTAAGCCCCGCCCCCTTCCTGCACCAATGGGTGTCACAGTTTGCAAGAGTTCGCAAAATAATCTTATCGTGCCGGGGACACTCGAGTTTCTGGAAAACACCCGCTGACCCGGAAGTCACCAGGATTTTCATTATTTTTCAGCTGGCGTCGGGTCGGTCCTTGCGGAACCAGCGAACCGACCCTCCTGGAGGGGGGAGGGGGATATAATAGGATCCGATATTAAATTCGGTCCCGGTGAGTCGCGTGAAATTGCACGCGCGATTTTATCCGCGGAAAAATAATCGAGTAAACAGTCCGAACCCGATTGGTCGGTGTTTTTCGTTAATACTTCGTTAACAAAGCTTCGGGGAACATTTTCACTAAAGAAAATTTTATTTCAAATCGCCCCAGGAATCGCGCTTTTCAAGGACTTACAACTATTTTGGAACACCCTGTATATACAGAAGTGTCTCCACGCTTTCAAACACCGCTGTTAAAGGAATTGCAGTGCAAACAAACTGTTAAAGAAATTACGACAATTCCGTGCCGACAAAAGTGTTTTACGATTGAATAACGTGATGTTCGCTCGACACGCCGAATGGCGTGACGAAAGGCGGATAAGAATCGCGAGTACCAAAGATCTATTATATCCCGAACGGAGGGCGAAGCACGGTGTAACACGATTCGAACACAAATTTACTCGTGTGGCAGCCCGACGGGTGGGCGAACTCAAGAAAATTCCCAACAATGCAACGCGATCCGTCCGTCGAGAGGAAAGCTTGGCGGCCGGCCAAAACGTGTTCAAATATCGCTCGACGATTCGGAGAAAGCGCCGTCGTCGTTCTTGGGTCGGTCTCTTGCCAAGACGATTTTTCAAGGGCGAAACCAGCCGCCCACGCCTGCCATTGATGCGCTAATGTCGACTTACGAACCGGAGGATCTTCCCTCTTTCAGCTTTTCCCACACACGCGGTTCGCCGCTTGAACCGACTACGCTTTTCGGCGGGAAATGTGGCCATGGGCGTAGCCGGGTGATCAGTCAGGGGGGGCAAAAATATTAACACATCGACTGCCGCAGTGAAAAAGGCCGTACGTAGCCAGACACACTTTATTTTGTTTTTAAAGTCATGAATCGTTGAAAATTTATGCGTTTTGTTAATAGGGGCTGTTGGTCGTGTTAGAGTATCTTCCTGAATTCCCGCGCCGAGACAATAATCGTATAGGGAGAAATCGTTTAGATCTTCGTAAATTCGGTTTTTGCTAGGAGCCGAGCAAAAAAAAACGGACGGGCAACAATGTATTTGCTTGACAGGTTGGGATAACGCCTGGACAATAATCGTGTAGTCCCTGTTTCTAATCACGTCCCGATTTCTGCTCAGTATATTTTTTTATTCAACGTAAAAAGTAACATAATAAATTAGTTATACAAAAAATTATTTAAATTAGTCCAATATTTCCGTAGAAAATGCTACAGCCCTCTGTTCAATAGATGCCAGCATTTTAATAGAAATAAAACTCCTGTAAATTAAATAAAGTTCCAAAAAACTTACTTATTTTTTCAAAAATGCAATTAATTCTACACTGTTTTATTACTGTCCTGTAAAGTTCCGTCGAATGGAGTTACGAGTTTTATTTTTTTTTTTTTTTTTTCGAGAAGTTGAGTTACATAGAGGACTGTTTTATTAATGGATTTCCATGGTATTAAGTCTATTCGAATTAGATAACTTTTTTATTCCGACGTGATTATACCGTGACACGTGACGAACAGATTCTCGAAACACGTCCGACGACAGTGGCGTCGAGCCAACAGGCGAGAAAATTAATCGAACTGTCAAGCCCCGTCCCATTGTCTCACCGTGCACGTTTTGAACAATCTTCAACTTATTTCATTGTTGAACAAACAGCGGCCTGGCAAACAATAGAGTTCGCGTTTTCATTTAACCGGGCAAACAGTGGTTCTCTGTCCTATAGGTTTTCATTCAATGAAAAATTCAATCGAACGATGAATTGCTAAATCAGTGGAATCGGGTAATTCGCACGTGACAATCTAATACTGAACAGAGACTACATTAACATTCCATTGGAATGAAACTCGGATAAGTACATAAATAGATTATGACGGCAGAAAAAAAGTACACGTTGTACTTTCACCATAAATTGACAATAATGCATTTAGTGTAATAACAGATTAACCCTTTAACGCACAACCCCTTAAATAATTATTTGAAAATTATGAGACTGATATTATATGTTGTATCTTGTTATTTTTGAAATCGAATATTGAAAATTGTGTTTAAACTGAAAGTACATTGAATTGTAATAAAAATAGTCCATTTTTTCGCAAAGAACCATCGGAACGTCTTCAATTTCACGTCGATTCCTACGCACCGAAACGAAAAATGACATTTTTTTTTTCGGTCGCTGTTTAAGAAGCCACAATCATGGTAAAAAATTTTCCAGAAATCTAGGTCGAACAACTCGTAACCTTCGCGCTCACCCAACGAAGCTCGAAACCGAGAGAAAAACCGTGGGCGCCAGGAGCATCGAGAAATTTCTCGAAAAATTGCCGGGTAGAAACGAAGAGGACTCGAACTTGGGAATGGTTGCCAGTCGAAATTTCGCGGCTAGAGAAAATTTACAAGGGAGAAAAGTTCACTTATCACAAGCCAGAGGAACGATTAACATTTTCTCCTCGCGGGTATACTCTCGAAATTAAATCTCGCGTGAAATTACCGATCGGTCACGGTCGAACGTGTCTACGTCGCGATTTCGTGAATTCGGGTCGCGGGAAACGGTGCCGTGACGACAACGATCGCGAGGAATCCTTTTCACGAGGCATCGGGATCTTTAGAATTGTCGCAGGTGACGTGGCTGTGAAACGGATCAGTTTGTTGGAAAATAAACTATGCCGCGAAATTAAACAAATATATGGACATTACCTGAAAATACAGAGCATATACAATACAAACAAAGCAGAAATATTTACGAAAAGTAACCTATCTTCTAGAAATCGTAAAAAAAAACTACCCCGAAATATACTTTGAGCGAAATAATAAATTTTTTCTGATTTC